GTACAATCTCATTAAGAATAGTCTGCTCCTGCTTTGCTTGTTTTACCATATGAAGGTTCCATGCAGGGTTATGGTGGCAACAGGACTCTCATTTTGCCATAAATTTGTTCCTTACACATTGAACTTCAACAGTGAAAAGAACCTTCTCCCGCCAAATATCAGAAAATTCAGTTTTGATAGAAAATGTTTACATTTAGTCACTAAAAAAAGCCACAACGAAGAAGAGACAGAATTCCATACACACATGCATATACATAGACGCACACACAAAACTAAGCACCACATTCAAGTTCAGTCAACAGCCCACAACTTTCTCAGAGACGGAGTATGGGCTTGCTGATTATTTTGTGGGACAGCAAGGATAAAGGTATGTCCTGTTCTTAAAAGCATAATCACCTCATAGTTTTCTTCAGAATAAGAAATGAGAAAACAGAATGTTAGCCAGCAACAGCAAACTGTGGGGGCGGAGGGAGGCAAGAGGAAGGAGACTCTAATGTGACCTGTCAGCATAGGGGTATCAGCCAAACATTATGGCAAGTTTTATGCTATTTTTAAGAACGATTGTTTAATGAACAAATTTGCAAGTAAAATGCCTATCTGTAATCATTGGCAATTGCCAAGATTCTGTTCACCAGGCAAAAAAAGGGCACGTACTTTGATTGGGAAGCACTTGGTGGTGCTGCTTAACTCCCTCCCGCCTGTTTTCTTCCATTACTGAGCCCATCTTCTCATACAGACCAGGCTTCTAACTACTCATGCTAGAAAGAGTCCCATGCAAAATGATACTTTTCAGTTCAATAGTCTGCCATACCAAATGTGGAGTTTTCATGTATGAAACAGGGGGTTGGAAAGAAGTAAGGCTCACTTCTTGGCTGAATTCTGAGGTGACTGAATCACAGTGTACTTGAACATGGATGAAAGGAGGGTAAAGTCCAGGTGATTACTAGGTGAAAACCTTTGGGAGAAGGAAGAAACTGGAGGAGGAGACTGGAAAGGATTTTTTGTGTATGTGTGTGTATCACTGGATGGGAAATAAATAATGTATGGAGGGGAACTGTTTACACAATAACATATAAACATATATTACATAAATACATATGTGTACACACTCATACATGCAGGTTGCTATCCACATACTTCCAAGCCCCTCTCTGTTGCTGTCGGCATAAACATCTGGTCAAGTTGTGCCCTCTGCCGACAAAAAGCACAGCACTGATTTTCACATCAGTGGAACCAGTGTAAGGACTTGGATCTAGCTTGACTATTCAAGCTATGATTTATCCTGTTGCATCCACCTGCATCATGCTGGCTCAGGTCTCTGAAACAGCTTTATTTCAGGACAATAAATTATTTTTACCTGAAATTAAATCAGAATTAAGTTCACCTGCTTCAAGGAATAGGCAGGTTCCAAACATAAAAGAGGATGCCTTACAGCAGATGTGTCATTCCTCATGTGCCTGGAGGCCACAGGGTCTTGAAAAACCAGCCTCCCTCTCTGTACTGAACTGCATACTATGTAGAGGCCCAAGTGCTGTCCAGTTAGTTACAGACTGCCACGCTGCAGCCTCAGCTTCACTACACTGCCTTCCTTGTTTCCCCTGGCAGAGCTCTTCACCCCATCACTTCCACAGCATAGTCTGGTGCACTACTTTCCTCACCCTTCGCTCTTCCTGCTGTGCTCTACATCATCTTCGCCTTCCTTCCTGCGTGATCTTTTGTTTTCCTGCAATCAATCTAGCTTCCCTCCTCCTCAACAGCAGGTGTGACCAGGACACTGAAGCAACGGTCAGCCCTCATGTTAACACAGATACTGGCTGAGACTACCTGGGGCCAGCATTAGGAAGGCGGCTAAAACTGTCAAGCACTGGACCTACTGTGTGCAATACCAGGTTAAAAAAAGCTGATTTCTGGTGGACGTTCAACTGTGGCACTTGCTGAAAGTTGAATGGTCCTGAGAGAGAACACTATGGGTTGCCTCCAGAAAAACACACTTCTGAACTTTTTATCATGATAATTTTTGTTAGTATGTGTATGTGTGTGTATGTATATACATATTCACCTCTCTATTATTTTTAAAAAGGAAAAAAATAGTGTTTATTACAGTTCATCTCAGTATTTCTAGGACTATACTTCGAGGAGCACAGCTATCCATGTCCTTTCCCCCAAAACAAGAAGGACAACTTCATATGTATATGCAATAAAATTGTATTTTTGTGTGGTTTTGCCTTTTTTTTTTTTTTTAATACAGACATTTGTACACTTTCTTACAAAACTGCAGGTAACTACAACTTTTCTTAAATCATTTTTGGTCGGCAAGTACTGTAAAATCTTTGTGTGCAATTATCATGTATTTACAGGGCCTCATGTTAGTGATTTTCAATGATTATTACAATAATGTCACACACTCTCAACATAAGACATGGCTTAAGATAAATATATTAGTAAATAAATATTCTGAGAACATATTTCCATAAATGAAATGTGCTGCTATACATATACAGAATATATACAAGATGTTTTATAGCTTTTAAAACATTTTTAAAAATGGTAATGAAGGAGAAAGAGCCCTTTGCCCATATTACAAATCTTTACAGCAAATTTTATACAAAACAATTTTAAGTGCTATAAGATAACTTTAATCAAAAACATTTTAAATAGTGCCTCATGAGCCAAACACAATGACAACTGTTCATGTAAGTAATAGAAAGGCGTTTTGTTATAAAAAACATCTATCACAGCCAGCTGTCTGTATGGACATACAGGTAGCATGGAATTAGCTAAATGTTGAATATAAATCCAAACACAGAAACCAGGTATAGGGCACCTCTTGTGCTAAGGCCTGCAGAGACTGTTGTACTGGCAGAAATTTCCACAGCATGTGAATGAGACCAGTACATCCAGGAACACCATGAGCCGGAATATACAAATTTCTTTTTTATAAACATATTTTACCACAACATGCTGTGTAGTTATGGAGTACAATGCATCTTAGGTGGCCCTAGACAGTGCCTCACAAAACACCAAGCAGAATAACCAAGGTAGTATACCATAGCTTCGACAAGCATTTTTTTTTGAGTGGAGGAAAGAGAAAGGTAGAGTTAAAAAAACAAAAAAACAAAAAACCCAAACCTTTAGAGTTTATTCTCCTAACATATTCATTCTCTGAATGACTGAAGTAAGTGGTATAAGTTTTCAATACGCTTTATTCGCAGAAAAATTTATTGGAATTTTTCTTTTCATCTTATACCCAGATACTGCCTTGTATTAATTCTCTGAACAGCTGGATTTTGGTGTTTGTTCATTTAAAAAGATTTAATGTGAAATCCTTTAAATAGAATTATTTTTTCCTAGCTTACTGAGTAGAGAAAGTAAAAGTAAAAAGAGTAATGTATTTATTTTCTTAGATGTTTGCTTCTTTTAAAATATTTAATTTGGGACTATAAAGCAAACAAGTTAACTTTGCCGGTTCTTACAATTAGCCCAGTGCTGTCAAGGACATTACTTTGGCAGAAAATGTAACATGAAGTGTACATCTCTTTTTCATGACTTTTAAGTATCTCCAAAGTGTACTGAACTTTGGACAAATCTTTTCAGAAGACTGGCACTGTGGACATTAAATAATCACGTTTCCCTTTTTACACCAGACAGGATGACACTGTGTCCTCAGGCACATGCAGCATGACAGGCAATTTAAACCATGCTATGGTAGGCTCTTACTCAGAAGCCGCTGTTTCCACAGGAAACAATTGCTATCAGAAGTGACGACATATATTATCTCATGATAACAAACATCCCCACTAGTACAAGAACAAGAACAAAAGTATATGCCCAGGCTAATGGGGTACAGAGAGCACTCCGTACACAAGACAAAAATGAAGCACAACTGGCTGGGCCCAAGAAACCTTTAAAACAGATCGATCTATGGAAGCTACATCAACCACAGCAAAGAAGAAAACAATGATTAAACCAAGTCACTCACTTTCCCACATGCACAAAAGGTGACAAGCACTGCTTCCCTTAGGCATGCCTGCAGTCTATAAGGAAACTAGACACCTTCTGACCTGTTTCCAAAATGAACCAGCCAAGCTCCAAGCACCCTGCAAGCTCTGTTTTCCTGCATATGCCAGCATTCCTCACAGCCATAAGAGGGGCTACAGGTGCCTGAAAAACTTCCTATGGAAGGCAAGGTTCATTACCTACAAAGGTGTTACCCTTTCTAAGTACTTTCTTCTAGCATCTGTTTGAGGGAGGGGTCCCCAGCATTCATCACCAGTCAGAAGCTACAACGAGGTCCATGGTTTAGCAGGACGTGAGAATGAGGACATTCTGAGCTAACAGTTTCCCTACTCCCACTCTGTTAAAACTAATCATAATGGCAGGAGACCATTCCTAGCCAAACCATAAGAGCAGCATGAAAAGGGGAGGAAGAGAGAGGAGAGACAGTCCAATGCTTCACCTCCCTCAAAATCGCTCATATAACTTGCTGGCTACTAGGATTAGTCAGTATCTGAGCATCCATTCAGCAGCTGTATCCCTCTGGATTACTATATTTCAAGGTGCTATCTGATTTCTAAGGCAGGTGTAGCCCTGAGCTTATCAAAGGCTGGACTCCTTTAAGTAGGAGATAACAGCATCTACACATAGCCTGGCTTATTTTAACACACCGTGTTACCTCTCAGCAAGAGCTGACACGGTCACTTCTAAGAAGAAAATATAAATAACACTTTGTCATTAATATAGAAATGGCACTAGAGCTCAGAAATGCTCCACACCATGTCCTACGTGGGCTTTGCACACAAATGGAGGCCTGAAGGCTTCAGGAAAGAGGGAGAAAGAAGACAATCAAGCTGATGTGGACACAGAGGAAGAGGAAGTGGGGGAGGGACTTCTCCACATTACCACTTTTGTGTGTTTGTCAAAGCTTAAAAGAAAATTAAGTCCATGAGAATTTGGAGTCTCTGATAAGCTCTGCTTCTCCATCCGGGATCATCTGCACAGGTCTAGTCACCAGTTTGGTTTGTCTCCAAGGGATGAGTTCCAGCACCTGAAGGATAAAAAAAACTAAGGAACATTGCATCTAGAATATTGCATCCAGTTTTGGGGCCCCCAGAACAAGACATTGACTGACGGGAGCAAGTTCAGCAGAGAGCTAGGATGCTCAGAGGGCTGGAGCACTTGTCCTGTGAGAAAAGGCTGAGGGACTGGGGCCTGCTCAGCCTGCAGAAGAGAAGGCTTCGGGGGTATCCCCTAGCAGCTTTGCAAAATACCTACATGGAGGTTGTGATAATGATGAAGTCCAGGTCTTCAGAGTAATGCATTTTGGACAAGACGTAAGGAGCTTACATTAAAACATGAGATGTTCAGACTGGATATAAGGAAAACCTTTTCACCATGTTGGCAGTTAAGCATGGGAACAAGGGCCCAGAGATGGAGTGCACTCTACATCCCTGGAGGTTGTCGTGGCCTTGGTCTAATCTGACAAACTGAATAACTTGGTGTGATCTCAGAGCTGGCCCTGGTTTGAGCTGGAGGTTGGACTAGATGACAGCCTGAGGTCCCTTCCAACCTACAATATCCTGTGATTCTGTTAGTATCCTTAAAAACAGCCCTGGCAAGGCAAGTAAGGAATATCCCCTTCATTCTGTGAGTGGTTCTTTTTCCCCTTGTGTATGTCCACAGCAGAGACTTTCCCACATATTCTTTTTTTAATCCTTTAGCTTGTCTGTCCCCTCCCAGCACTGTGGCCTTGCCTGCTTAGGCAGCTCACCACAGCTGCCATGACTGGCACAGTGTCCCTGGCTGTGGGAGCTCTAATGAGGCCCTGGTACTAGCAGTCACTTTCTCCCCTCCCCACAAAGGACGAGTGTGAAAGTTCTTACAAGGTTAGATAGTAAACTATATCTTCTATTCCTCTAGATATGACCAAAGGAGCACAGGTAACAAGAGAGTAAACTTTTGGGTGAAGGATTAGTCAATAACCTGCTCTTATGCAAAGGACGACAGTAACCTTTATGGCTGCAGGTACCTAGGAAGGTGGCAGCATTTCACATACTAGGAAAGAAAGGTAGCGAGTAATCAAAAAAGGCACACATATTACCTGTGGCCTTTGTGGTTGTCATCAGCTTCTGGGAGTTCAGAGTGGGACTGGGAAAGAGCATTCCGGCTTCCTCCTCCTGAGAGCAGTTCTGCCGCAGGAATGATGTTGCCTCGTAGCACACCTCCCTCTCGTCCTGTACCTCTCCTATACCTTGGCAGTGCAGATAAGTATCTAGCTCAGGTGTTCCACCCCAGGAACTACAGCCTCCTGTGTGGGTCCCTTGGCACTCTGTAGGTAGGATCAGCTCACAGTCTCTGTCTTCAGGAATTATGGGAATGCGTTGACCCAGATCACATACACCCTTACAACAGCTTGGCAAGGTGTCATCAGGAAGTGTGTACTGCACATTCACTGCATAGTCTTCTGTATAGCAGCCACCACCTCCACTGCCGCTGTTGCTACTACAGGCTACCTGCTTCTCTTCATAGAAGCAGCAGGGCAACCCCTCATATTTTACCCCATCTGTCCTATGCAAGTGGTCTGAGTTAATACTGTACAAGCCCGAGGTGCTCCCTGACTGTGGTTCTATTCCTGGGCCGCACGTCCCCCACAGCGGAGAGCTAAGGAAGAGTGCACTACAGTCAGCTGTCCCATTGCTAGGCTCCAGGGCAGAGTGCTGGAGTTCAAAGCAGCATGCACATGCTTGCTCCATAAGCGGCCCTGCTATCTCTGGATTCTTCCAGTTCCTTTTAACATCCAAGGCAGCACCAAGAGTGGCCTCATGTCCTCCCTCTGAGGTAGTGCCATTTGGATCCCTGTGCTCTAGTGAGGAATTACTGCTATAGTTCATATCCATGCTGCAATTAGACAGTTGGTCCCCTGAGGAAGAAGCTGGCACAGGCCGGCAGTCAGCACCCATCAGACTGTGACCATGAGCTGGAAGCTCGTCCTGGTGGGGGCCCTCCAAGAGAACAATTGCACCCCTGTTTGCACCACCAACCTCACCCACTCGGCAAGGGCTCTTACTGCGGTAAACGTATGGGTCATAGTCACTGCTCAAAGAGCTGCGAAAGGTGGAGCAGCTCCCATAAACCCCTTGGTTGCTGACCTCAGTGCAGTCAACCATGGAATCACTAGAAGAGCAGTGGCACTGACCAGAACTGCTGCTGCTGCTGTCACTTCCAGGGCAGTCAGCCAAATATCCACTGCATACTGAACGATGACCATGATAGCAGCTAAAGCTGGAGGTACTGCCACTCTCCAAGCGGGATGAGGGCACTACATGTACCACAGGAGGGAAAAGCATGCTGCTACCAGGCTGAAAGGCACGGGAAGGACCCTTTGAGGAAATGCCAGCTGGAAGCTGTCCATCTTGCTCAGGGTAACTAAGGCCTTGGAAGTAGTAGTGCTGATACATGGTCTCATATTGGGAAAAGCACGCCGCTTTGGAAAAGTTGCGTCCACCAAACTTGGGTCTTCGGAAGTTGTGAGCTGGAGAGTAAGCCCTATGTTCCAAGCTACAGTGATGCGTGTTTAAAGCATGGTCCAAATGAAGAGGCTGGTAACTTCGGATATAGGCTGAGGACTGGGCTTGGTAGAGGCTCTGTTCACCATGTCGCTCAACTGTAAGTACTGTGATAGGATTTCCATGAGGGTCCATGCTTGTCCGAGTGGGATATGCTGTTATCTGGTTTGCTCTGTGCACTCGGCCTGGGTAATGGACTGGCAGAATCACCCTCTGCTGCCGGCTGCGTGCTGGGTTGATGGATTCCAGACAGACTGGACCTGCATTTCCCTTCTTCTGGTCTGAATGAGAGAAATAAGAGTGGAGAAGTAGAAGTAGGAGGGAATAAAAAGGAATGTACTTTATGCAAGGAAGAAGGATATTTTGTTCTGATTTTCATTACATTATGCACACACCAAAGTTTTTTTTAAAAGAAGCACCATCTTTTTACATAGGAGGAAAAATAAAAAAACAAGCAAAATTCGTCACGAGCATCTTGCCTGGAAGCCTTTGAAACACTCAACTGTATTTGCTTAAAAAGGAAAAGAAGTGAAGTGATTTCAGATACTGTTCTCATATATGCAAAACCTTCCGCTTACACAGCATTCCTGAACTTGCAGGTTAAGAGCAAGGCTGCTAGTCGTTGCTCAAGTTTTCACTTTACATGTTATTTTACATAAATATGTGTTAATAAAAAACTTTTTCAAGACAAGAGGAAATGGAAGGGGGAGAGGGCAAGTTAGGAAAACCACATTCCAAGTTAGAACACCACGGGAAAATAAAACCCAATATATTGTCTTTTCTTTATAATTACCAAGAGAAAACATACCCCTCTATTAGACCTATTTGTCCTCCTTGCATTCAGAAGCTGACCAACGCTGCCCTCTGCTGGGCATCGCAGCCAGGATGAGGGAAAACCAGAAATGGACCTGCTACTCCAGGTTATGCAGCCACTTTCAAAGAACTTAGTCCTAACTGTAGTTCTAGGTTTGTGTTGCAATAAAGACTATGGGCTCTATGGAGATTTACAAACAGGCACAATTTCTGTGTCACCTTGTAAGCTGTTAGGTCTGAAACGGACAACACAACAGAGCATCTGTACTGCAGCACTTACCTATGATGTTATGGCGGCAATGAGGGCAGGTATGATGCTGCAGTAACCAAGGATCCACACATTTTTTGTGAAATCGGTGAGTGCAGGGAATGACACGCAGTTCCTACAGGAGCAGATGAAGGAACATGAAAAAGTACTCCCTCCTAATGAGTGAACTCTTCACAGCGTATTCCTAGTTTTTTCAACCCAGCTTACTAAATGGATCAACTCCTAGCCTCGAAGCGGTAAGAAGGCAAAAAATGCCATCTGTTCCAACACAGCCAAAAGTATAACAGCTAGTGATCAGCTGTTACTAAAAGAATAGTCTGCAGGCACGTCAGGACTCCATGCAGATACATTACATTTCTTTAGGACACTTGGACACTTTTTTGCTGTGTGTCCCTATGACCTAACACCTTGAAGGAGCCCATCATTAAAGCTTTCCTCAATATATTAAATGAACTTAAAAAAAAAAAATCAATAAAGTCCATTTAATGATGCATCTTGCCTACAATTATTAGCAATAAAAAACACGCAGGGAAAAGCAAAAACACCACCATGTATATGATACTTTTTCCCTTGCCCAGCACTCTCATCCTTCAGCTATTATCTGCTTACAGGATTTCCTGAGCCTGCTGGATAGCTACCAGTTCAGAAATCCGCAACGGATATTTCTTCAAAGTACTGCTCAAGTCTCCCCATGAGCTCAGGTTTTGAATTTGTAACATGCTTTGGCAAGAAGTTCCACAGGGCTACTACCTGCTGGTGGAGAAACACATTTTGGTTCAGATTGGGTCCTAGCAGTTTCATTTAATTGCACCCAATCTTGTATTGGAAAAAAATGAACATCTGATGCCTGGTCATACTCCCCATTCACGATTTTGTACTCCCTCTGCCCCCAGGTAATCTAGGACTAAACAGTCCTAGTCCACTTAGTCAGTCATTTTTTTGTACAGAAACCACTCCAAATCTTTGATCACTTTGCAACTGCCGTTTTCTGAAGCACCTTCATTTCCAGCATATCCTTTGTGAAACGAGATCAGAAGTGCACACAGTACTCAATGTGACAACATGACTGAACTTACACAGTGGTGTAATTATGTTTTCTGTTCAGTTCTCTAGGCTTCACCATCTCATTTCTGATTTGCCTTTTTGACTGCCACAAAGCATTGATCTGCTTTCACAAAGCTATCTAAAAAACCTTCAAGATCTTGCTCCTGAAGTAATGCTCCCCTCACAACCCATCACTAATACATGTGAAGCTCTTCCCTATGTGTATCTCTTCATGCTAAAGTTCATGCATGAATTTCCTGTCCGGTCAGTTTTGTACAGCGCTTCTGAAGTTCCTGTCTGCCTTCATTCATCCTTGCTACTCTGAATAATTTCCCATCAGCTAACTTCATTATGTTTCTGTTTGTAGCTTGTAGCACTCAAGTACTGCAGCTGGTATTTTCTATTGCCTTAAAAAATTATTAAACCTTTATGAATCATTTCAAAATGAAATGTCCTCAAATAATTTTTTATATGGAAGTTTAAAGCTGTGATTATTGACTGCCTCTAGGAGCCTATTTTCATTGCTTCCTCTGGGTAGAACTATGCCACAGAAGGCAAGCACTGACATCAATGCAGCGGTGGTAACTGAGGAGTCAAAAAATGGTTCCTGAACCTTTTGGCATCTCCTCCCTCTCCTCCTCTGGTTTCCCAGCAGTGCTGTGTACTTCATATTTTAAAGACAAGGTGCCATCAAAGCTTGAGAAGCAAAATACGGAATGTATCCCTTATGTCCAACACACCTTGCAGGCACCATCACCTTAGCTCAGAATTTGTTAAAAATACGCAGAGAACTAAATGCTGAGGTAACCCTGATTTCTTTATGAGTTCTTCCTCAGAAAAGCAACTTGATGGAGGTAGCAACTTGCAGAATGAGATCCCCCACCTCTTACTTTGTAGTATGGGGAAAAGCCCTTGAAATTTCTCTGGAAGCTGCAGAATGCAGAATGTAGCTGAGTTGGCTACTCAAGTGCAATCAGCCTGGCAAGCAGCACAACCTCAGTACACAACGTACCCAATATCCAGCCGCGTACCACAGTGCTAAAATAAACCAGCTACATTCTCAGCCCATGTTGAAGAAACCATTTATTCTTTACCTCCCCATCAATGTACTTCTCCAAGCAAATGGCACAGTCAGAGGTGGAGCTGCTGCTGAGTGTGTCCAGTGCTCCACAGCTACCTTCCCGGTGTCCCTTACTTTTGGACTTAAACTTCCTGGTCTCCATTTTTTCCAGTGCTTGTACTGCAAGCCTGTTCATGGAATTCTACAACGGCGGGGGGGGAAAAAAAGAGGCAATGTTGCAACATAAGGGACTATAATGTGGTAGCCAAGAAACACCACCATATCAAATTAACGGATCTTACCAAATCACATCAGGCCCAGACTAATGTACCATTTCATAAATTAAGCCGAGAGAAGGCTAATTAGAATTCAGATCAGAAGCCTCATGAAAGAATGTATGCCACATGCAGGAGTGAGGATGATAAGCTACTTTGAACTGAAACAGGGTGAAGGTGCTGACAATGGGATACACTGGAATTGCTCAATTGATAGGCAGCAACTATTCAAAGCAACACATAGAACTTGGTCAGGAACTTCTTTCAAACTGTCAATATTGACTGTAATGCCCCATTATGTTGTTACCACCATACTACCAGGAGCAATATTTGAGAGAGGGGTTAAAATGAAATGTTATTAAATTAGCTGTATCACTTCCCCCTCCCCCAGAACTTAATCAATAGTAGAAGTTTAGGAGGGCAGTGGGTGGGTTGTTTTCATTTTACTGTAGAATTTATCATACCCTTTTAACACTGTTTTTTAACACTGCTGTTGGCCTATAACATCTTTGAATTCCTATTCGGTATGTCCAAAGCAAGAGTCCTAAGCATCTACTGTGCTCTGCATTGCTTTTACGTGTATGTACTGGACAGTTTAGAACTACAAACTTCAGAGTCTGTTAGCTTCCATTTGCTTTCCCTTTCATGTTTGACAGGACAAACTCTAAGTACCTCACCTAGAATTTCTCCTAACCAGGCTTTTTACATTGCAAACCTCTCCCATTCAGAATCAATAGATGTTATTCTATCAAAGAGTTTCAATTTATTTTCAATCCTGATATTCTCTCCACAATGCAGCAACAAGAGCTTGGGCTTCTTTAGAAGTATACCAGTGCTACTAAGTATCAACCTCTGAACAAGCAGAAAGGTTCTTCCTTCCCAATGGCTAAATGGACTGCTTCCATACTTGTTTCATTTCAGGATTTAACTGAGCGAACATCACAGGTCAATGTAGGTCTCCTTTAAAGACATCTCCAATTTCTTCCAAAGGCCTACACCCATGGATAAAACCCCTTCTACAAAGATAGCTATTACAAGTCAGTGTCCGGCATTTCCAAAAGTAGTGAGCAAGTTCTAGGACAAAGTAAGAGAAACTAACTTTCAGCATTCAGTTAATATCCCATTATTGCTCTTACCTGACTACGCCGCTGCTTCAGTTTGATCTTGACAAGAAGAATTAGGCAAACAAGAGACACAACCACAAAGAAGGCCAGGAAAATTCCCATATCAAAGTACTCGGTAGGTTGCTTAAAAATTAAAGCAAAAATATTATTTTTCCTTTCTTTAAATCGTACTCATGTCTATTGTTCTTTTCTCTTCCCTACTTTCTCAGAGGTCATTGTCAAATGCACACAGTCACAATGGCAAAAGTCAAAGTACACACTGTTCTGTTCATTAGCTAGGATTCTATGAGACAAAACCTCAGTTTCAGATGGCACAGCAAGTGAATGAAATACACAGAATGCCAGTCATGAGATGCTGGATTTACGACGTCTCTGAACCTATCCCACAAAACCCTTTTTTTTTTAACTGAGTGAATCACACTAACACAAATTTTCATGATTTATTGGTTTGCTTGTATACTTAAGTAAGTGAAAATCAGCATTTGATTTTTCAGCAAATGGCCCATTTCTCAAATACATTTCTTAGCAGAAGAATTCCATAAAAATACAACAAAAGCTAAGTGGTAACTGGGACATGGATGACCGTTAGCTTTGTTGTTCTTCTGTAAGCTACATGTAGAGAGTGTTTTAAAAAACCTCTAGAAAAACTGTTTTATATTACAATTACAAATATCAGATATCAAATAATTAACCCATGCTTAAAATACCACACAGAATTACTAACACAGGGCAAACTACCTTACAAATCTGAACTACCAGAAATGTGCAATAAGTAAGTTATTTAACTAAGAAAAATGAAAACTTCTATTACATCAACTTTTTAGCCATTTATATATTCAAAAGAATCCTTATGAAAGACAGCAGATGTCACATTGTGGATTCTATACTTACATCAAGTGTAGCTGCTCGTCCACAGTGCAGCTGCTCAATTGATTTAGGTCAACAGAATTTTGCATGTATTAATGCTCATGGGAAGCATCAAAACCTCTTCACACTCAGCGCAGTTAGCAAGCACTGCATGAAGTAACAGCACTGTAATACCCACATAAAGTTTCTTAAAATCTCACCCGTGGGGGGCGATGCTGAATCCTTGCTCGTGCCACTTTCTGCTTGTTAACTATGTTCATTAGCTTGACAGCATCAGCACCCTTCACATACACCACTGGTCTCTTCAGAGGGTCTTCTGAACCCTGGTTCAGCTAGAACAAAAAAGAAATCTACTCAAAAGTCACATTTCAGGAAAACTACCTCTCATTTGGACAATGGAGATAAGAGTAAAGGAATATGAATGTGGAACTGATTCAAGCACCCATTGTTCTCTTCTAGCATAGACCTTCACTTAAGTATTCCACAGAGTTAAACCTGAATTAAACTTTTGACTTAAGCTGCTTTTTTTCTCCTTACCAAAACTAAGATTAAGGATAAGCAAATGTTATTTTTGAACAGCAGCTTTAACTTAACTGCATTATGTGCCAGTGCATATATTAATACTGTAATAAGTTAAACCTCATAACGAAGAATAAAAATCTGCACACTCCAAAAATTTGGCCTTGCTACATTTTCTGAAACTTTTGTTATTTCAACTTTATAGTTATATTATTCACATACAAATTTCTTCATCTTTTTGAACAATCTCATGTCAGCGTCCTGTCTTTCAGGCTCTTTGTACCTAGCCAATTACTAAAGTCTGAAATTTCTGCTGTTTAACTTGGCAAACTCGTTCAAACAGTTATTTGGGTCCTAGCAACCACTAGAGCTATCGATTGCAGGATGGGGGCCTCAAAGAGAAAAGCTTATGAATAGATAGCTTAAGTCACCCTGAAACTTCCTTCCAGGTCCAGCAACGTTTTTTTGAAAGGCCAAATCACAGAATCAGAAAATAATGCGGGTGGGAAGGCACCCCACAAGTCCAACCTCCTAGTCAAGACAGGGTCAGCTATGACATCAGACCAGGCTGCCCAGAGATTATCCAGTCAGATGATGAAAACCTTCAACGTGGAGACAAATTTTCTGGCCACTAAGTCCCGAAAAACAATCTGCTAAACTATATAGCAGAGAGGGGAATAACAAGACAAGAGACTTGTTCTGTTACAAAATGGCACCAACATGATAAATTCATATAGCTTACTCCGATCCATGAGAAAAATCCTACTATAGAGGCTGGTTGATACAAAATAAGCAAGGCACTGACAAGTAGATGGAAACAGTACAGGGGAAAGGAGTGAGATGACAGGAGTGTGAGGAAATTGAACAAGAACAGCATATGGCAGAGATACCATATCTACATTGTTGATATCTACCTGATGTTTCTGGCTAAAACATGTAGAAATTACCAACTGACTGGTCTATCATCCTGCTTACAAAGTACTCAATCTCTCCAGATGATGGTGACAGATTTCATTGAGACTTTTTAAAAAAGATTCTTCCAAGTATTTGATTGGGCTTCTGAGAACACTGATCAAACTATTTTTAAGACAGCTGTTTTCTGAAGAGCTAAAAACTATCTGAAGTACTTGAATCCAACCCAGGGATCCTATGTGTCTACAAGGCTTGCTGGCCTAAGGCCAAATCCAATCACTGTCCGTACATTCCCAGACACATATTCTCTCTCAAGCTTTCTTGTCTAAGAAAGAATTCACCTGGTTTCCTCAGCAATTTTTGCACACTGCCAGACTCTTGCTAAACAGGATGCTCTGGGTGTTGTTATTCCTCTTCAAACTATGCAAAAGTAAAACTAAGAAACAAATCAGACTTCATAGAGCCTTTCTAAAAATAAAAGTTTCATTCTTAGTCTACAGCAGAAGACATGCAGATCAATGGGAATAAAACCCACAAAATCTGTATGTGAAGCCCTTTCATTTGGTAACAATTCTGCTACCAAATTGTCCGAAGACAATTCTTCTCTGGGTCAGGCCTGCTTCCTACTTCTGTTCATTGACTGGCAGGCAGGATCGCCTCTTGCAATACTCAACTCCTACCTTTCGAAGCACTCTCCCTTAGTTGTTCTGTTGCTTGGTAACAAGCATACCTGGGAAAGCTTCCTAAACAGCTCCCCTTAGTATCTTAGGATACTTCCATTTGAATCAAAGATACCCCAGATTAACTCATGTCGGTTTTTCCTCCATTGTTATGCACCTGACGTTGTTTTCCACAATTCCATTATGAGTGCCAAAATGGTATTCATTTTAAAGAAAAAATTAATTCGTATCCCCTGATGCCAAGGGTTCTGAAGACTTGGGCTGAGAATCAAAATGCATGAAATACGAGTGTCCAGAGCAGCATGAGAAGGGAGCCAATCAAGTAACTCATGTTTAGGGTATGAAAGCTAGGTCTAGTCATTCCTCTCCTGTTTGTGAGTGTTCGTATAGGCTGCTGCTCTGTGCTCTAACAGAGCCTACTTTGTCAGGTACTGCACTAAGCCACTAACCTCCTTCCATTTTATTGGTACACCCAAAATATTCAATCATCCACTAGACTAGTTTCCCAGCTATTGGGGACAGTTGCACACAGTTTATTATCAAGAATCAAGGAAGGACAGCTGCTTCTGGTAGAGGGAAGAGAGCAAGAGGCAGTAACTCAGCTTCACAAGTTCAGAGCAGGGTGGCTGAAAGTAACTGGAAGCTGTAATACAGAGAAAAAATTGGAAAAAGACAGATCACATCTTCGTGCAGATATTTTTTCTGTGTATAAAAGGGAAAAAAAAATCCCTGAGAATGTTTGCAAGGTCAAGGCTGTAGCCTTGATGCACATGCAGAACACAGTTCTCAAAGCATCCATTGCATAGGGTCTACATTCCTTCGTCTAACAGATGTTCAGTTCAGAATTAAAGCCAGCTTTTTTAATGTAAACATTGATGGTCTCTCTTTTCCCCAAGAAATTCAGGCCGCACTTAAAAACATTCAGCTTCACTTATTTTTGCTGTAGCAGAAACAGCAGTTTTGTTTCAAGACAAAACTAAACCAAACGCACACTATTTTGTGCTTGTTATGTTTCTTCTCTCTACTCAAATAACTCAGAATTGGCTGGAAGGATCTTGTCAAAGCATTTCCCAGAGCTATTATCTCACACACTTGAAACGAAAAGATGTAAGTTGTACTGAGACCCCAAAAAAAGAAGAACCCTGCTTGTCAACAAAATATGTAGGCCAGAAATCATCAGCTGCAAGCAAGAAAGAAATGTTTGTAAGTTTTGTAAGAATCTTGTTTACAACCAGGTTTGAAAGCCATTTTGCAATCTCAAAAATAGCTGCTGCTCAACAATACTATTGATCACAAGCTGGATAGGGCCAAACACCCTGTGTTTCGTACACAGAGCTGGGCAAATAAAACTTTCTTGACTAGATAATAGGCCACAAAACATTTGCCTCCATCCTTTCTCAAAACCTCAGTCCCAGAGCTGGATTCTGTATTCTAGCAAAAGCTAAAAGAAAAATGTAACTCCCAATACTTTTCTCTTTCTACCAGACTCTCAACACCTCCATTACTTCTTGCCTGACAGAAGATGACCAGGAAAACCAAAGCACCATGTTACTCAGGGTCAGTAGCTGCATGTCTTAAGGCAGGTGTATTCTGAGACCTGTATGCTCTCAAGTCTTGCCTCAGTAACTCCAAAAGAACCCAACAGAGGCTGTAATAAAACTAGGCTCCCTTCTTCATACCTGATCAATGGCATCTGGGTTTTCAGAAACATCAAAGATGACCGCTGTGGCTCCTCGCTGTACTGCTCGTTTTGCCTGCAATAAGAAAGACAGCATCCTCAGTCCCACCCCAAAAGATGACTTCTTACCTCAAAAATAACTCCCTCTCCTCATCTCCAGATAGCAAACTAAACATTTTGTGTTTCTGTGTAGTTAAAACAAATGAGAGAGTAATTACAAACACAGGAGTTCCCAAATCAGCAGGGAATGTAGTTAAACTTCACTATAGTTTCTACAGTCTCTCTGCCCCTTCCTTCTCAAACTCCTCCTTCAACAAGCTTTTAAAAGAATTGAAATGTGATTTAGACCCTCTACGGACTTTAAATCTAAGAATTTTTAAAAATTACATTATGTTCTTTTTCTCCATGTTACTTGGAAGCACCGTTAAAAACAACCTTCCCTGTAATTTGGGGTGGAGAGATAAGCTCACTAGTGCAGAAAATAAAGGTGCACCAGGTTCTTTGCACCTTTTCAGCATCATTCTCATAGTCATGACAAACTAGTATACCACAATCCTTGCAAAATGTGCCCCAGAGAACACTGCTCTTTCTTGACCATTAGATGTCAGAACTGTTGCATTCGATGCTTCATACGCAGATAAGAACAGACCTATTTAAGTGCATGGCTTTTCATCAAACATGGGGTCCAAACCTGGAGTTAGCAACAGCACAGGGGAGATATTAGAACGTATTAATATCCTCTGGAATAGAGAAAACAGTATTTTAACTGCCAAGGCTCAAACAGGGTATTTTTACCAGTTTCTGCCACTGTGCCTCTGTACGTTCTGTTCAAATGTTGCTCAATGGCTCCGTATGGCAAACATTCCCAGAAACTTTTCAAAACTGTTACTGCCTTTGTTGGATGCAGAATGCAAGTAACGATTTCTCCAAGAGATGACAGCTATCACCATCACAGTACTAAACAACAGGACACTGGCTCTTTGTAAGTGGAACCTGAACTTAAATTGACATATAAAAGAAACATACAAAAGTGATAAATTATGAAGTACCTTTTTTTTTTTCCCCCTCCTTCTTTTCCAAGAAGAATGTTGGCCAGTACAGAGATGTTAGTTTGAACACCAACAGGTCACTTTCTTTCCTCTATTCTTGTATGTTAGTTTTATTTTAAATCAACCAAGCACATCAGGCAGTGCATGAAGGAAACCAACTCCCAAACGGGGTCTTGTTCTCAGCCCAGCGGGTATTTGTCCCCTTTGAAGTCAGCACACCTGGCTAATCACTAATAGCTGTTGGGGAGGAAAAGGTAAAAGGAATCTACTACACATTCTCTATTGCAGTGGCCCTGAGGTGAAAGCTCAGCCAGGTTTCCCTAGAAGGCACCTTTTACAGACATGCAGTGCTTGTAGAACTGTTCAGGCCATTTAGATTGTTCTTTCAGGATGGTCAGTCAACAAGCAAGGCATTTTGATGTCTGAAGATATTTTTAAAGAGATTTTGAAGGTTGTTTCAGAAAAAAAACCTGTATTTTGTGAACACACTGAATGAGCAGTATACAGCACAGCAATTCATTAAGTCTCCACAACCGAGCTGTAACCTGTATTCCTTACTTTGTATTGCAAAATCAGATATTGAGATGAAAAGTAGCAACTGAGTTAAAAAATTGTACTCCCCCGCTTCTGCAAACTTGCTGAGGTAGTTTAATTCCGGCCAACTACAAGCAGCAGTTTGTGCCAGACCCCAAGCAAAGGAAGGCTTGAGCCCTCTTCCACCCGTTATTCTCACGCCGCCCGTGGCCCTTCTGCACCCTCGCCATGCCCCTTCCTGTGCCACCCCAGCACAGGGCTCACA